AAACTGCTGTGCTGCTTATTGTCAACTGCAAATACATATATTGCAGTTGTGTGGAACATTTTCTAATGTTGCATACTAAGAATATAGGAATCTGTTAGTTTCCTTTTTTAACTTTCACAATTTTAAAAAAGTCCAGATAGTTCCCATGCCTTTAATAAGGGTAAGTGCACATTTTTTGCCTGTTCTGATTGAAAAATGAACTAGGTAAATTTATGTGGAATTGGATGAAAACTAAAGTGATATTACATATAGGGAGATAGAGACAGATAGAGAGAGAGATAATATATAAGACAGATGTAAATATATAGAAATACAACTCAGCAATATCCTCTGGTAAAACAGTATCACTTTGAATCTGTCTTCCCTCCTGAATTTTTTGAGAGTTCATGACCATCAAAAGTATTGTACTCTTTAGAAAGTGGAGAGGACAATGTACAAGGAAAGAGGAACAGGGAAGATTAGTGAGGCAAGGGAACAAAAGGAAGATCACACTGATCTCCTACCTCCAGACAGGTTCAAGTCAAATTTAAAAACTACAGAGAAACCAAAACTCTACACTGTATAAAATTATAACACATGGTTATCTTTGAAGTCACAGTTCCTAAAGAGGAAAATCAAATTATCAGCAATAGCTAGTATGAATATAGACTATTGGTTGGGGAGAGAATTCTTGGTGGTTTATTGCATAAAGTGTCAAATGCAGAGCTGCTTGTTTAGCATAAAGTGGGGGTTTGTGTTTGGTGCAATGCATTTCTTTGAAGTTGTTTTAAACACAATAATTGAGGCTCAGCTGAAATGGGTTCCATAGTGTCAACGTCTAGGACTCAGCAATAAATCATTGATCTCCTGACACTTCACAGTTTGGCTCTAGTCCTAGGCTAGACTTGGCAATAGGCTCACAGGCACAGCTCAGCTAGAGGGGAATCCATACAAAACTATTGACTGCCCAGTGCCACGGAGAAGGTATATACCTTTGGTAGACTTGTTGCATTTTTCTTTGTGGCTTTCCCACAAAGTCACAGTCTCTATTTGGCTTTGAAGTTCTTGCAAGTCACATAACTCCCATTTCTTGCCTGCAATTGCAAGCTCCTGACCCAAGTCTCACAAATTCAGTCCAGTAAGAGGCCATCCATTTGAAGATATCTTTTGACAGTATAGAATAATAAAATTACCAGGTCTTGTGGGCTTCGACCCAAAGGTTCCTTAAGAAATTAATGATCTGCTACACAAAATATGACAATGTAAGTAATGTCCCTCTATCCCAGACAATTGGAAAGTAGTTAAAGGAGCGCCAACTTTTTTAAAAAAGATCCCAGGGTTGGGGAAACTACATTTTGGTCTTGTATCATCTATCCTGAGCAAAGTGTTATAAACAGTTATCAAATGAATGAATGAATGAATGAATGAATGAATGAATGAGGGACAAGACTTTGGCATACAGATTCTGCAGAGAAATTCCCTGCTTCATAAACTTTAATTGTTTAGAGAAAAACAAAAAACAGGTGGATGGAACTTTGGATTTTCACAGAATTTGATAAATAGACTTTGATAAATTTCCTCATCAATAGTTCTTGAGTAAATTTAGCAGTCATGGAACAAGAAGAGGTTTTTTTATAGATTGCTACCTAATTAAGAAAAAAAAACCTGCCAGAAAGTAAAGATCGAAATCTTTAGAAGAAAAAACCTTCCCTCCACTAAGAAAATTGACCATTTATTTCCAATCTTTACTTTCTGGCAGGGTTTTTTTTTTTAAAAAAGGGTTGGATGCTTTTTGACTTGTTCATAAGTGATCTTGAATTATGAGTAAGCATTGGGTTGGCCAGGTTTTGTATGATATCAAGGTATTCAGGGTAATGAAAACAAAGGTAACTGAAGAAATGTTTTAAATCATTAGAATGATCCACCAAATGGCAAATGCAGTTGAGTTTAAGTATATGTAAAATGATATATATTGGAACAAGATCTCCAAACTTCATACATATTCAGTGATGAGGTCTAAACTATCAGTAACCAAACTGAAGGGGGAAAAAATCAGGATTATAGTGAATAACTCAGTGAAGAGATCAATTTGTTGAGCAGCATCTGTAAAAAAAAAAGGCTTATTTTATCCTTGAAATCATGAGAAAAAGAACTGAAACAAAAACTGATAATAAAATATTGTACATGTAGTCTTTGACTTACAACAGTTCATTTAGTGACCGTTCAAAGTTACAACAGCACTGAAAAAGTAACTTATGACTGTTTTTCACACTTACGACCATTTCAGCATCCTCATGCTCATGTGATCAAAATTCAGACGCTTGGCCACTGACTCATACTTATGACAGTTGCAGTGTCCCAGGGTCAAAGTGATCACCTTTTGCAACCTTCTCATAAGCAAAGTCAATGGGGAATCCAGATTCACTTAACAACGGTGTTACTAACTTAATACCTGTTGTGATTCACTTAACAACTGTGGCAAGAAAAATAGTAAAATTGAACAAAACTTCACTTAACAAATGCCTCATTTAGCAACAGAAACTTTGGGATCAATTGTGGTCGTAAGTCAAAGACTACCTGTACAACATTGAGCCGCAGTTGTATCTGGAACATAGTGTAAATTTCCGATGGACACAATTGAAAAATACTGTAGATTTAAGAGCTGGGGAAAAGTACAGAATGATCAGAGTGTCAAACATCCTTCTTATTTAAAAAAGGGGCTAAACTTATTTAGGACTGTTTATCCTAACAGGTGGCCGAAGAAAGAAATAATGAGGTGAATATAATTAGATTTATATTAGAATATAATATAATTGGCATGGAGAAAGGAAAGAGGAAACTTTCTGCTTTTACAAACACTACAATTGGAGCAGGATTGGAGAGTGAGGTGTCATCCAGTGAAGCTAATTAGAACAGACTAAAGCAAGAGCTCCTTCATAGAGCACATAATTAACTTGGGAGAATTCATTACCACAAATTGTGCTGATGATCACTTACTTGGATGCCTTAAAGGGGGAATGGTTATATTCATGGATGATAGGTCTCTCAAGAGTTCTTGGCCTTGAAACATTAATTTTTCTTCCAGGTTAGGAACAGCATGTTTTCAAATGCTAGTTGTAATTGAAAAATAACAGGACAAAATATGTATCTCTCTTTCTCTCTCTCCGCCCCCCTCCCCCCACCAACATGTATAAATTACTTTATTCTAGTTATGATAGAAATACTGCTTACTTGCGTATAATTTTGTTTTTTTTTAAAATATTATTTATTTAATTATCCCTTTGTGGCTCTAGTTTCTGCGTGTGTGTGAACTAGCTGGGCTTTTTTCATATTTGAATTGTGAAGATTTTTGTGCCCAGTCATTTTATTAGCCAAAGGTGTGCATTCATAACTTGTTGAAACATGGTTTTAAAAGTTCCATATAATCATTAAATTAGGATATATTGTCAGGAATCTATAATTCTTTAAAGGGATGGAACATTTTATATTTGGTATTTATATATTGTATCATTTATTACCAAGAGCCTTGGTGGCACAGCAGACTAAAGTGCTGTTAAATAACACCAGCTGCCTGCAATTACTGCAAGTTCAAATCTCACCAGGCTCAAGGTTGACTCAGCCTTCCATCCTTTCGAGGTAGGTAAAATGAGGACCTGGATTGTGGGGGCAAGAAACTGACTTTGTATAAAAAAGAACATCGCTGGGGGGGCCGAAAGCCCTACTAAGCAGGTATATACAAAAACATGAAGGCTATTGCTTAACGCATTGTAAGCCGCCCTGAGTCTCCAGAGAAGGGCGGCATATAAATCGAACCAATAAATAAATAAATAAATAAATAAATAAATAAATAAATATTATTATCATCTCTGATTTATTTTCTTCTTTATTTTAATGCTGTATAAATTGTGCAGCCTTATAAATCTTATAAATACATGCACATAAATAAATAAAAATTCATGGCCATAAAAATGCCTCACTCTGTCCCACATGTACATTTTGATGTGCGCTTCTGACCCTCCTAATGATTGAACATTTCCTTAAAATCTAAAGCTTTCTTATTTCCAGCATTGGGTATTTAGTCCCCCAGCTTGAAATTCTGATCATGTATATCCTCCATCTCCACTGGGATTGTGTGGGGTCTGGACCACTTCTTGTATTATGCCTTCTATTTATATCCTACTTCATGAGAATATATCATTATGAGGAGACTATGTCATCCATCTTGTATGATCAGAATATGTCATTAGGGGTCAAGGATGTCAAATCCTCTTCTCCAAACTTTGATGGTCAAATGGCCAAAAATCGCTAAAAATCAACAGCATCCTTTCCTGCCATTACTGTAATCCTTAGAACTGACTCTTAGGACCAAAGTGGTTATCTCAGCCCAACCAGGGTTGATTCAGGAAATGCCTTGAAGAGTCAGTAACTCAAACCCTGTATATTATTCCCTCTACGGTCTCTACCACAATTTAAAATGTGGCCTGCAGGAACCAAAAGATAGTCCACCTCTGGTGTTTTTGACATTGCATTTTGTAAAAGTTAATTAATGGCCTGGTGTCACTTATAAAACAAAATAACAGAGTTGAAGGGACCTTGGAGGTCTTCTAGACCAACCCCCTGTTCAAGCAGGAAACCCTATAACATTTCAGACAAATACTTGTCCAACCAGACCACTGTCAGTGTTCAGCCTTGATAAAAAACAACCCATGGCTCACAGTGCTGGATGAGCCCAGTCTAAAAGTGTATCCAGAAGTGAAACTACACCCAGAAGTATATCCAGAACCTAACACTTGATGACGTTACCTGATTGGGTAATGAACATCTGCAAAAAAAAAACCAAAAACAACCTACCTCAGAGAGCACCAAATTTTCCACCCAGAATTGATTTGGGTTTACTATTTCTCTCCTTCCTCTCCCTTCCTCACTGAGACTAGTAGAGGGAAAGGCCTTGCTGCTGCTTGGATAAGCCCAAAGAGCCTTCATTGGGATGCCATTGACTTGAGCCTTTTTTCTTCCAACAGGCTAGAGAAGACCTGCTGTTTCAAGAGCGACTGTAAGCTGAGTTGTGTGATTGCCACCCAGATCATGTACAAGGGGAGGAACTGGATGACAGGCAAAGGTGGAAGAGGTTGTTTGTTTGTTTTACATCTCTTTTACATCGCTCTCCTATACAAGAAAATGTACAGGCAGTTTGTGTGGTTTGCAGGCTAAACTAAACATTTTAACTTGTCAATCAGCCTGTTGTTTGTTGACTTATGATGGGCAGATAGAGTTTTCCAGGAGAAATAATGGAAAAACCATTTTCCCAGCTTTGTCTCTAATATTTCTTTGGCATCAAGAGTGAAGGTCTCCCCTCCTCCACCACACCACACACGCCTTCAGTTAAGAAACATTATGAAAATAAACCCACTCAATCAAACTCCAGCTCTTTAAAGAGACATGTATGTGTTTTTAAATCATTTAACTTGTTTACAGCAAGAAATTCAAAGCCCTTCATTTCTGTTCTTTGCCTGTGGCACACCTGAGGGGTCTTTCTTTGAGGAGGTTTACCAGGTAGAATTTGTTTCCTCTTTAAAGTATAAAGTCTCTCTTTCTCTGTCTCTCTGTCTCTGTCTCTCTCTCTTTCTGTCTCTCTGTCTCTTTCTGTCTCTGTCTCTCTCTGTCTCTGTCTCTCTCTGTCTCTCTGTCTCTGTCTCTGTCTCTCTGTCTCTCTCTGTCTCATATATAATTGAGCAAAATCAAAATGCTCTAACACGACCATTATTAATATCAGTTCTAGGAACCGGATGTTCTCGAAGAGGAATTATTTTTGTCTTAATTTGTTACTTCTTTGTTTCATTAGCCAGTAACCACTTTGTATCTTTTGTTGCAGAGGTACACACACACACACACACACACACACACACACACTATAAAGCAGGATTAGGTAGAGGTACATTTTCTGCATTGCCTATTGCCAATACAGAACCATCATCATTTCCTGAATGGAGAAATGGATGGCACTGTCCATCCATTCTCACCCCATTGCAAAGGCACCCCATACCCCACAAAACATTATTTTCTAATTTTGATTCAAAACTGTTTTCTAACTGAGCTATCTTGAATCCTTCTGGACAGATGGACTTCAGATCTTTATTCCATTCTACCTCTAGGTGGCTGACACAAACCCTTCCCTTCTCATGTCCAGGGCAGCCCTGGGATTGTGGGGCTGCCAAGCTGTTATCATCTGTTGGTTGACAGTAATTGGTCATTACTTCTTCCAAAGCAGACTATTTTGCTCAAGGTGGTGAAGCATAGGCCTCTTGTTATCTTATTCTCTGCTCATGGACCCTGCAAAGCATCTCTTTCTATCCCCTGGTTTTGTTTTTTTTAAAACTCTGCAAGCAGTAAGGCTGCTTCTCCTTTGTTTCTGTGAAGCTGAATGGTTATTTCTTCCTTGTTAGAAAGTTTCCCTGGACCTTCAGACAAAGGCAGGGACCAAAGCACATAGCCTATTCCCCTGTTTCTGTGATTATTGTAGCAATAGAGCGATGATGCTACACTAAGAGAGGAAAAAAAAGAAAAAGAAAAGAAAGGTCCTGCTTTCTTTTGACACTAACAAGATGGTGCCCATTTAGCAGCTAACAAGATGATACCTATTTGGTCTAGAAATTGTATAAATCTGTACTGGAAGGATTCCACTCTCCCTGGTGAAGCTGGAAGATATTCCAAGGGTCATTTTTATCATTGGAACTTCAAGTAGCCTTAGCAGCCCAGACTAATTCTGACCTACTTTAACTGGCTTGTCAGTGAGGACCATCCCTGTTACTACTATAGTTCAGGAACTAGTGAATTCTTATCCAGATTATGAAATTCAATGGTGAAAAAAGTAAGGTTCTACATTTAGGCAAGAAAAACAAAATTCACAGGTACAGTATACGTGGTACCTTGCTCAATAGTGGTGACTGTGAGAGGGATCTTGGAGTCCTAGTGGACAACCATTTAAATATGAGCCAGCAGTGTGCAGCAGCTGCCAAAAAAGCCAACACAGTTCTAGGCTGCATAAACAGAGGGATAGTATCAAGATCACGTGAAGTGTTAATACCACTTTATAATGCCTTGGTAAAACCATACTTGGAATAGTGCATTCAGTTTCGGTCGCCACGATGTAAAAAAGATGTTGAGACTTTAGAAAGAGTGCAGAGAAGAGCAACAAAGATGATTAGGGGACTGGAGGCTAAAACATATGAAGAACGGTTGCAGGAACTGGGTATGTCTAGTTTAATGAAATGAAGGATTGGGGAGACATGGTAGCAGTGTTCCAATATCTCAGGGGCTGCCATAAAGAAGAGGGAGTCAAGCTATTCTCCAAAGCACCTGAAGGTAGGACAAGAAGCAATGGATGGAAACTAATCAAGGAGAGAAACAACTTAGAACTAAGTTAGAAATTTCCTGACAGAACAATTAATCAGTGAAACAACTTGCCTCCAGAAGTTGTGAATGCTCCAACATTGAAAGTTTTTAAGAAGAGATTGGACAACCATTTGTCTGAAATGATATAGGGTTTCCTTTCTAAGCAGGGGGTTGGACTAGAAGACCTGCAAGGTCCCTTCCAACTCTGTTATTCTATTCTATTCTATTCTATTCTATTCTATTCTATTCTATTCTATTCTATTCTATTCTATTCTATTCTATTCTATTCTATTCTATTCTATTCTATTCTATTCTATTCTATTCTATTCTGCAAAGCACTGTGACAATGAATCAGCAGCTGCTGCTACTATTGCAAATGAAGATGGATTATCTGATATATGGTCAAGATATAAATGCCATGTGGCTTCATTCTTTCCTTTGTATTTTGCTTGTGTCTACCATACTTTTGGACTAAGTTCAGAGTATTGCAGGTCATATCTCTATCTCTATCTCAGACTTTGGACTCATAGCTATAGCCAGTGTGGTCTAGTGGTTAAAGCACCAGGCTAAAAAGCAAGAGACTGTGAGTTCAAGTCCTGCCTTAGCCATGAGAGCCATCTGGGGAACCTCAGGCTACTCACTTTCTCTCAGGCCATTTACCTCACAGGGTTGTTGTGGGGAAAAGAGGAGGGGAAAAGAGGATTAGATGCATTCATTGCCTTGAGTAAAAATAATAAAGGGGATATAAATAAACAGATAAATAAATAGGTACAGATAAATAAATAGAAACTGGACAGCATGTCGTGGGCACTCATATCTTTGAAGGACCTTCAGCTCTGCCATTATCAGTTTATAGATTCTATGAACTGTATAGATATAGATTACAATAACTTTCTGTGTTTCTACCTTTTTGTGTGTGTGGCAATGAAAATGATTCCAAGTCTGCATCTCCTATCCTGATTTACCCTGTGATAGCTACAAAAAATGTAAAAGCAAAATATATGATTTTTAAAAATTCAATGAAGTAATCGATTAGAATGCAAAATAAATAAAGTTCATTTTGATTCTAGCTGTTGTGTAACAACTTTTCGTCTTGACACTGAGCAATCGCTCATGGTGAACAGGATTAAAGTTAATTTTAGAGGCCTTTGTTCATATGCCTTCTCAGTCTCAAGTCAGTTGGGTGGCTTTTAGATAAAGTTAATCTCATTTAGAGAAACTGGACTATCATTCTCCTTTTTATCAATTGCGTCCCAAATAACAAGCAGGCTATGAAAATAAGCTAATAAGTTTGCAAGTAATCAGCTTCAAATATTATGTAAGAACAAAAAGAGAAAATGAAGGAGAAATCTATTTCAACCTTTTCTTGAGGACATTCCAGAAACAATCAAGTTTAAAACAATACAAACTTTTAAAACAATCCTGCCCATTTCAAATTGCATGTTCCTATTTGCTTGTAGCTACAGGCTTAATTTGTGGCTATTTACTTTCTTGATGTTTGCTTTTTCTTTTTAAAAAGAGATTGTTCCCTGGCCACTTTACTAGCTACTCACAAGTAAACCCCTGGCTTCCAGGACATCTATTCTACACTCAAGAAAAGGTTCACAGATATACAGTGTTTCTATCTCTCTCCCCCGCCCCCTCCACGGAAAAAGCTTAGCATTTATTTGCTAAGTTGTGGATTCAGAGACCCAGCCCCTCCCAAAGATAGCCCTGATCTGCCTCTTAAAAGTGAAACTGGGTTCTTTCCTTCGGCAAAATTTCCATCTCTTCACCTTGACATAGGGAATGCTTGTTTTTATTTTTAATTTTTTTTTTTAAAAAAAAAATTTTTGGTCAGGAAGAAAAAAATTAGATGGAGCCACCTTAAATACCATAAAGCTCCATAAGCTCCCCACCCACCCCTTTTCCATTCCTATGCCCAGAGCACCCGCGGCACTTTAATTACCTGGCCGGCCTCGACGTCATTTGCTGGACCACAGTATTTGTACTTGCTCACTGTACCTTCTTTCTTTAAGACAGATTTGTCCTGTTGATGAAGACATGAGTTATTCAAGTAGAGGCTTTCCAAAAAAACCATTTCAGATTTTTAAAAGGCTGAAGGAAAAACCTTTGAGACGCCAAACGGTGTGTTATTTATTTTGCTTTAGCAATGGTGGCATTCCCTCCCTCTTTCTGCTGGTGACATTTAATTCTGCAAGCGGAGAAGGGAAGCCAGGAGCCAGATGAAAACCTCAATGTTTCAACAGGAAGGTCAGCAGGGAGGGAGAGGAGCTGCCATGGAGCCCTCAGGCCAGGCTGGAATTCCAGCCCTGGCTTCAGCGGTGGAGGCACCTGGTTAGCTTCTGTTCCAGGAATAGTTCCTGCAGAAGTCCCATCAAGATGAATGGGGGAGTTGTGCAAAGATGCATCCATATGCGTGTGTGCGTACGGACGGACGGGCATCCCCATTCATTCATTGATCCCAATAGAAGGTACAAAGTTTGCATGGACACAGCGTTGTTTTCTTGTTTTTTGTTTTTTGAATGCAGAACTTCAATGATGCTTTGGAATTCCATGGTTGCCAAGAGATTGCTGGTGGATTGGACTAGATATTTTATCCATAATATTAAAAGATCAAATAATTCTGAGTGGCTCCTTCAGAGTTCTGACTTCTATGCTTTAAAACAGGAATGACACAAAGTATATTTTCTGGGCTCTATACAACATACAGCATTTCTTTTCTCCTGCCCACAGTTGTCCCCTGTCTGAAACCATACTTTACTGGATTGTTGTTTTCTTGCCTCCACAGTGACATTTTCCAAATGCCTTCCCTTCCATGGCTTCTTCCTCTTTCCTTGT